CCCACGGCCCTCGGAGCCCCGCATGGACGCTGGCCTGGTCCCGCCTGCGAGTCCGAGTCTGTGAAATCAAACCAGCCCCGTCGGGATCTTACAGGATCCCACCAGGCCCGGGCTGGCGGGGGGCTGTGTGGCTGAGAGCGGCTTGTGGTGGGGCGGGTGGACATGCCTTAATCTATCCAGTGCCTGCGGCACCTCATGTGACCCTGCGACTCCAGGGGCCGGCGCTCGTGGGTTGGAGAAAGTCCCCGAGTGCCACGTGCCAGCATCAGGAACACCCAGACTCCAGGACACGTGGCGTCTCGCCTTTGAGCTCTTCCGATGGGCTCAGACGGTACCAACGAGGGCAGCGGCCGCTGTTTACCAGTGCTGACTCTGTGCCAGGCGCACATGGGAGCCGGGAAGGAGAGCGGGAGGAATTCTCTCCTCTCTGCCCAGCCCGGTGTAAACTTGGCTGGGGCGTAAGATCAGCCCCTTTACAGATAAGCCCTCTGGGCAGGCCCCTAGGTCCTTAACAAAACCACCTGCAAGTCCCCTTTGCCACGGCGGTCACAGCCACTCCCAGGTGCCAGGCCTAGGATGTTGGCATCTTTGGGCCGTTATCCCGTCTCCCCTTCAGGCCCACCCCCACCCTTCTCGCCCTTGGGTCCCGTGGTGCCTGGGCTTCTGCCTGTCGCTGACCGTGGGGTCTCCTAGGAGGACACGGGAGCCAGGCCCTTCGGCTGCCCACCAAGAGCCACCTTTCCTGCCCAGGCACCCCCACTTCAGAGGGGACATGGACCCCCTCCCCGCATGGCCAAGGGTCCCGGGAGAAGGAAAGGGGGAGGAGCTAAGGAGACACATCCCTGGGTTCACCCCCTTTCTGGGGGTCATCCTCACACTCCTGGCTTATACGCCCCCCCACCCACCCCCGGCTGCAGAGAAGGGGGAATCCCGAGCCCCAGGCCCTCCCGGATCCCAGCTTCTGGAATTCAGGGCCTCAGTTCCACAGGGCACCGGGTCCCAGGGCTTCCCGGCCTGCTCCATGGTCAGGAGGGGCCGCAGAGGGGTCTCCGGCACCTTGCAGTCCCCCACAGCAGCACCGCCCGCCCGCCCACCGGCCCGCGGGGAGCAGAGGCTGCTGTGCCGGGAGAGACGGGGTGGGGGCCTGTGACTCCCCTGTGGCTGCTGCATGGCTGCTGTGGCGCTGGCCGTGGTGGGAGCCTGAGACTCCACGCTTCACAGCCCCCGAGGGGCCTTCATGCGCGATCTCAGTCAAGCCTCACGGCGACGCTGCAACATGCACCCTTACTCCCACCTGACGGGCGAGGACACTGAGACTCGGGAAAGTTCCTCCCTGCTCAGGCTCACAGAGGCGCGTTCTGGGTCCTCTGGCTCCAGGCCATCTCTTCATAGTCTCAGCGTGCGGTACAGGAGGGGCCGGGACCCTGCGGGGCGCCGGGGAAAGCTGTGTGCAGAGCTTGCCTTGCGGACTCGGGCGGGTCATTTCACTTCCCTCTCCTCAGTGTGCCCGCCTGTACCATGGGCACAAGGACACTCAGCCTTCCTCCTGGGTGCGTCGTCAGGTTCAGTTACACAGAGCCCTCACCGTCCCCGAGTCTCAGCACACCCACCCGGCATGTCAGGGCTCAGGTCTGCGCCCTGGGGCTCAGCTAGGAAGGACGTGGGCTGGGAGAGAACGCCCCCGGCCCGGCAGAGGAGGGCCTGGGAGGAACGTGCGAGCCCAGGGCAGTCTCCGGGAGCAGCTCGCACCCCTGTGTGCAGCACGGGGGGCTGCGGGTGCCCCAGCATGTGAGGGGGGGGTGCTGGGTGTCCTTGTTCCCTGTGGCTGCCGTCGCCGATGACCACAAGCTGGGTGTCAAAACCAGGGGGCTGTGTCATGTGGATGGAGTTGTATAGTAGAGTTCAAGTCAAAAACTACTTTCAAAATCATCATCTATTTAACTGAATATACACATGTATTTACACATCCCCAACAAATTGGTTATATTGATAGATTTCTAAAGGAGTTTCCGTCTATAATTTTTTCAAAAACATCATGCCTCTAAACGAATATGCATCCACATATGTTAAAGCAAAATAAACCCTTTTATGTATGTTAACTAACTGAACAATGAAAAGCGACATGAGCAAAATAATTGTCCTTGGTCCATAGCCACAGCCATAGCCGTGTCTGAGGCGTGCCCTGATGCTGTGTGTCCCTGTGTTCATGGCCATAGCCGTGTCTGAGGCGTGCACTGATGCTGTGTGTCCCTGTGTTCATGGCCATAGCCATGTCTGAGGCGTACACTGATGCTGTGTGTCCCTGTGTTCATGGCCATAGCCATGTCTGAGGCGTGCACTGATGCTGTGTGTCCCTGTGTTCATGACCCTTAGCCGTGTCTGAGGCGTGCCCTGATGCTGTGTGTCCCTGTGTTCATGGCCATAGCCGTGTCTGAGGCATGCACTGATGCTGTGTGTCCCTGTGTTCATGGCCATCGCCGTGTCTGAGGCGTGCCCTGATGCTGTGTGTCCCTGTGTTCATGGCCATAGCCGTGTCTGAGGCGTGCACTGATGCTGTGTGTCCCTGTGTTCATGGCCATAGCCGTGTCTGAGGCGTGCACTGATGCTGTGTGTCCCTGTGTTCATGGCCATAGCCGTGTCTGAGGCGTGCACTGATGCTGTGTGTCCCTGTGTTCATGGCCATAGCCGTGTCTGAGGCGTGCACTGATGCTGTGTGTCCCTGTGTTCATGGCCATAGCCGTGTCTGAGGCGTGCACTGATGCTGTGTGTCCTGGCGTCTTCCTGAGGGTATCTTTTTCTTTCCTTGGGATTTTGTATTTTCAGTTGTTCCACGTAATTGCTGAGGTCTTCTTCAAGCTTACAGTTAGCACATTTAAATCAATGCCTTCCATGGATGCTCTCCTTGGACCAGAATATATTTAAGAAACTGGTCCCTCTGCAGGTGCCGAGGGGCCTGGTAAGCTCTGAGCAAATTCTGGGCAGAGATGCTCAGGCCCAGGGCTTTGTGTGTGGAATTATGTGAACAGCAGAGGCCCGATGCATGAAATTTGTGCACTGTGGGGAGGGGAAGAGGGTCCCTCAGCCTGGCCTGTGTCCTCTCACAGTCCTGGAGCTCTGGGGTTGTCTGACTGACAGTCCCGTGGGGAGCAGGCCTAAGCTGTCAGTCGGACATCCTGAGCACTGCTGCAGATTCCCGCCACCGCCGCTGTGCTCGCCAGCTGGGAGCCCAGCTCCCTGGCTCCTGGCTGAGCAGCACTCCCCCTGTGGAAGTGCACTGACATTGCATTGGGTGTCGCCCCTTGGTGGTCAGTGTGCATCATAGCGACCAGTTGTCCCACCATTCGCTCGATTTGCATATTGGCCTTTAATATATAGGACTAGAGGCCCACCAAAACCGGATTGGCTCAGAGAATGTTTCTCTCTCTCTCATCGATGTTTCTGGTTCTATCCCTCTCCCTTCCTCTCTGTGAAAAAGCAATAAAATATAGTTTAAAAAAAAAAAAAAGCCCCATTATCTCCAGGGTGGACAATGCTCACTGGCCTTAGACCAGCAGTCCCCAAACCTTCGCCAGAATTAACTTCTGAAATTGCCCTTCGATTCCATGAACGGTATGAAAGCATTGGATCACGGTTGCAGTTGACCCGTTATATTTTAAAAAGTTTTTATTGATTTTTAGAGAAAAAGGAAGGGAGAGGGAGAGAGAGAGAGAGAGAGAGAGAGAGAGAGAGAGAGAGAGAGAGAGAGAGAAATATCAATGAGAGAGAGATGTCATTGACTGCCACCTGCATGCCTCACACTGGGGAATTGAACCATGACACCCTGGTTCACAGGTCAATGCTCAACCACTGAGCCATGCCGGCTGGGCCAGTACTTACATTTTTGTTAAGCCATCCAGTCCTGTGGCTTTAAATCCCACCTGCGAGAGTTCAGCTCCCACCTGTGTCCTGTTACCTCGGGCCTGGTCTCTGAACTACCTGTATCCAATCGCCCCCTGGACATTCTCACTAGATGTCCGACACACAGCCCAATCTGAGCATGTCCAGAGGGGAACTCCTGCTTGTTCCCCTTTCTCGTCCCCCCTCCACCAAAGATGCCTCTCCATCCTCCCCCTGGCAGCTCCGTGTCAATTGATGAGCTTTGTACCTCCAGGTGCTCAGACCCAACATCTCCTCCTCTCACAGCCGATTCCCAATTGAAAACCACAGTGTGCCACCTTCGAAATACGTCTGTCTAGACTCTGACCCCATCTTGCCATCTCCCCCGCTGACGTTTCTTCAGTAGGTGTACTGTTATTGGCCCTCTCCAGATCTGCGTCTAGACCGTGAGCACCTTCAGGCTGGGGCAGTGGTCGGCAAACCGCGGCTCGTGAGCCACACACGCTGCAGTTTGCCACTAATGAGTTTGCCGACCTCTGTCATATACCACCCTTTACCTCTTTGCACACAATATGCCACAGTTGCCTAATCCTCACAGCTTCCAGCTACACGCTAACATTTAGTCTAGTGGTTGGCAAGCTCATTAGTCAACAGAGCAGCATGTGGCTCTGCAGCACAAACGTAGACGCTCATTACATGTTTGACTGTGAACAACAACAACACGGTTGCTAATAAGACTGATGGCCACCTTCCGCCGAGTGCTTCCTCCAGGCCGGACAGCCGTGCTAAGCAGGATGCAATCAGCTCCGGCTTTCAAACGGAAAAAGTCCGTGGGTCTAAGTGGCCCACACCCAGGGGCTGTGCCAGGATTTGGACTCGGGTTTCAAAGCCCTGGTCCTGTCCTTTCTGCCAGGGGTTGGGGAAAAAAATTTCCTCTTAAGGGAACCGATGGCCATTGTGTTCAGCGCCGCAGGCCTGGCAGGCTCGGCTGTAACACAATAAGTAAACGCAGGGTGTGGCCTTGTGGCCGTGAAACGTTATTTTCCAGAACCGTGGCCAGCTGGCTGCAGCCGGGAGCCGCGTGGAGGCTCCCGCCTCAGCTCCGTCCGTGCTGTTCCCTGCAGGTCCCCGTGGATGGCATCGCGGGCCCTCCTGGCGCTCCAGCCCTCCAACCAGAGCCAGCTGCTGCCCGCCAACGCCACCTCCTGTGAGGACGATGCCCGGGAGGCCTGGGACCTGCTGCACCGGGTGCTGCCCAGCTTCATCATCGCCATCTGCTGTGGCGGGCTGCTGGGCAACCTCTCCGTGCTGTCCGTCTTCCTCCTGCCCCGGCGGCGGCTCTCCGCGGCCGAGATCTACCTGGCCAACCTGGCCGCCTCGGACCTGGTGTTCGTCCTGGGCCTGCCCTTCTGGGCCCAGAACGTCTGGAACGGGTTCCACTGGCCGTTCGGGGACGCCCTCTGCCGCGCGGTCAACGGCGTGATCAAGGCCAACCTGTTCATCAGCATCTTCCTGGTGGTGGCCATCAGCCGGGACCGCTACTGCGCGCTGGTGCACCCCGTGGCCAGCCGGGGGCGGCGGCGGCGCCGGCGGGCCCAGGTCACCTGCCTGCTCATCTGGGCCGCGGGGGGCCTCCTGAGCGTCCCCACCTTCCTGCTCCGCGCCGTCAAGGCCGTCCCGGACCTGAACGTGTCGGCCTGCGTGCTGCTGCTGCCGCCCCACAGGGCCTGGCACTTCGCGAGGATGGTGGAGCTGAACGCGGTGGGCTTCCTCCTGCCGCTGGCCGCCATCGTCTTCTTCAACTGCCACATCCTGGCCTCCCTGCGCGGGCGGGCGGCGGGCGTGGTCAGGGGGGCGCGCCGCGGGGGCCCCGGGGAGGGCAAGCCCACGGCGCTGATCCTCACGCTCGTGGCTGCCTTCCTGATGTGCTGGGCCCCCTACCACGTCTTCGCCTTCCTGGAGTTCCTGGTCCAGGTGCAGGCCCTCCGCGGCTGCTCCTGGGAGAACGTCACCGACCTGGGCCTGCAGTGGGCCAACTTCTTCGCCTTCATCAACAGCTGCCTGAACCCGGTCATCTACGTCTTCGTGGGCCAGCTCTTCCGGACCCAGGTGCGGGAGCTCTATAAGACGTGCGCCCCGGGGAGCGTGGCGGCCATGTCCTCGTCCCAGAGGAAGAGCATCCCCCAGCTCTTCTGGCGGAATTAAGGCGGCCGGGAGCCGAGGGACGTGGCTGCCGGACACCATAGCTACTTGGCTGAAGAAACCGAGTTCTCCTTGTCTCAGGACCCCTTGCTTTTTATTAGCACAAATTGTCGTCCTAAGGTGAGGGGCCCCCCCGTGTAGCCAGGGCTGCAGCCCCAGGGCCCTGGGAGTGCTTTTATGGGAACAAGGACTTTGCAAATGCAACTCAACCGCGGGTCTAGAGATGGGGCGATGGCCCTGGATTATTGGGGTGCCCGGTGTAATCACGGAGGTCCTTTGAAAGGGAAGCAGAAGAGTCACAGAGGGCGATGTCACAACAGAAACCAGAGGCTGGGGCGACACAGGGAAGGGGCCCGCAAGCCAAAGATGGACAGCGCCCTCTAGAGGCAGGAGCAGGCAAAGGGACGGGGCGGATTCTCCCTGGAGCCTCGGGAAGGAAGCAGCCCTGCGGACGACCTCCCTTTGATGGCCCCGTGCGACTGATGTTCGTGGCTGGCCTCCAGACACATGAGATAATAAATGTGTGTTGTTTTACGTCAAGAAGTGTGTGATCCTTTGTTCCAGCAGCAACAGGAGGTGAATACATGTTTCCGATAAGGATCTCGTCTGGCATTCCCGCAGTTTCCTAGGGTGAGCACTAGGGACGCGGAGAGGCTGTAGTGAGGCAGCCTGCCCCCAGGCGTGTCATTGAGGGACATGCTTACAGTGTAATGAAGTGCAGGAGAGCACACAGGCTCACATGCACATCGCACCCTGAGTCCTCGGAGCGGGGCCGGGGAGGGTTCCTCCTGAGGGCTGACAGAAGGGTGTTGTGATGGAGAGAACGGCGAGCGAGTTGCACCAAGGGCTGGTCTGGGTACGGGGAAAGGGGAGAAGGGCTGGTGGAGGCCTGACCGAGACACACGGCAGGGAAACGTGGGCTACGCCTGAGAGAGTGCTGACGGAACTCCGTGCAGTGGCCTTCTTCTCGCCACGAGACCCGGTGGTGAAGCTGAAAATCTGCCTTCAAGGGGCTGGTGGCCACAGGGACAGTAACCAGGAGAGAGTCCCCATTGGGGCTGGAGCAGGTGTGCTGAGAACACAGAGAGGGGTGTCCAGCCGGATGCCTGGGAGGGACATCAGAGAGGTTTCCCAGAGGAAGAGATGTATTGCTGAAAGGAGGGGTCCGGGTAGAAGAAACATGCCAGAGCCAGGGGCAGGCGAGCTCGCAGTCAGGAGGGAGGAGGATGAAGGGAGGCGTAGGATGAGGCAACAGTAGAGGATAGAGGATGGAGGATGGAGGATGGAGGATGGAGGATGGAGGATGGAGGAGAGAGGAGTTGTTGGGAGGCCGGACAGTGGCCAAGGGCAGAGAGGGAAGCAGGGGTGTCCCAGAAGCTTTGAGGGCCCGGCTGAAGCTAGAAGCCATGAATTTGGTGTGTGAATTGCTCAGTTCACACTGATGAATCTTGGGCTATATTAATAGGAGTAATCTGACATGAGGGCGGTGATACCCATGTAGCTTAGTGTTGTACATGGCACATAAAGAGTATTGTGTCCATCCCTTGGCTGGCTTGGAAGAGGTTCTGCCAGGTGGAAGGTCATAGCTCAAGGCTGTTGGGGTATGGGTGAGCCTATGAGGAATGGCTGGATGTAACGCCGGTGGTCTTGATCTGGCATCTAGAAGGGTTCAGGAACCTGGAGAAGGGCTGTGTGTAAATTAAATAAGAGTCCAGAGTCAAAACATAATTTTGAAAGGCATGGGGGGGTGGGGGGGGACAGAGGAGCTTGGCTGAAGAAATCAAGTTCTCCTTTTCTCAAGACCCCTTGCTTTTTATTAACACAATTTGTCCAGGAGCAAGATGGAAATATACACATCATAAGGTAGGATTTCTGTACAGAATCCATTGTCAGATGGGGGAATTACCTCCGGCTGTTCAGGTGTTTAGCCAGGAGGAGGCAATAACATGTAGATTAAGATGCCTTGAGCTGTCAGGCAGCAAACAATCATCCTTTTCAGTTTGGGGAAATGCCTTTAACCATTCCCAGCAGGCGATACATATGTGTCTCAGCCCTTGGTGAGTCCCCAAGTTCCATCAACCTTCCAATGAAACTCTTGCAATTACGACAAGCTGGAATTGGCTTCTGGCATGGATGAGGGAAGGAAATGGACATTAGGAGGTGAGGGAAGCCGAGGCTAATATGGTTGAAAAACAGGCGTAGTGGGAGCACCTAGATCCTAGGTGATGGATTGAGAAAAATAGGAGGGTGTGACCACAGAGGAAGAATGTCTGCACAGAATCCTCCAAGGTGGAGCCATCTCAGCAGCTGATAGGGACCAAGTGTGGCCATGGCATTGGGTGGGTGGGGTGGAGGGAAGGAGAATGTCATTGGAGACAAAGCAGGTAAGGAATGGAAAGGTGGGGGATGGGTGTCCACTGGCGCCCTGCAGATAGGCAGGGCCTGAAAAGACCTGGCCAGGAGAGAGCCATGGGCCAGGGGCCAAGGTCAGTTTCCAGAGAGTGGGGGGAGGGGATGAGCAGCCTCTACTGCTGAGTGGGAAGGGCCGGTCCTCACAGGAGAGTAGCCAAGACCCAGATTCATTGGAGAGACAGGGAGGAGGCAGTGTTCCCGGGGCCCGCTGATGGGGTCTGAGAGGTGGCAGGGGCGAGGCCAGCAGGTGACAATCTTTGGGCCAGCACTCCAGCCCCACAGGTCCCCTGGAGAGCACAGAGGTCCAGACGGCCCGGGTGCAGGTCTACAAGCAGGCTCCGGCCTGCACACATGTTCAAATTGGACCTCACGGGGTTGGAAGGAAGTGTTTCTGAGAGGGCCACACATATTTACATCTCACGTAAGAATCCACATTTTGGACTTCCCTTGAACATGTGGAAGCTCTAGCCAACATTTTCTTCTGCACCCCCCTGCTCGACTCCTGGAAGCAGACCCACCAGCTGGCTTGGCTGCGACTCACAGGCACCTGAGTAACCCCAGCCCAGCCCTGCGGAAGAGCCGCCCCGCTGAACCCAGCCCAAGGGGCCATTACAGAGCTGGGAGCTGAGGCGGTTCTACGTCATCCACCCATTTAGCTGGTGTTTACCGAGCATCTGCCTTCTGCCGAGCGCTGTGGTCGGGACTGGGCACCTGGTGCCTGGCCCTCTTGCAGGCGACCTCCAGGGCACCGGTGAATGGGCGCCGAGTAGTTGTGCCCCTGCTAACAGGACAGGCACCCCTTCACTGGCCACAGCCCCCTCTCCAGGGACAGTGGCTGGACATACCTGGCTTGCTTGCCCCCACTGCCTGGGAAGAAATCCAGTGAGCAGTGACCCTGTCGCAGAGTGGCCAGAGCAGGCAGGAGGCCGAGGCAGGGAGAGAGGGCTGGGAAGGGACGGTCACGCCAGTCTCTCCCCTGCCCTGTGTGAGCTGACCCCGACGGGCCCTCTTTCCTCCTTCCTCACGGCCGCATTGCACTTGTGGTTTACAAAAACCCCTTCTGGGGTTGCCAAACCCCACCACATGTTGACCGAGGGTGCTGGCTGGGAACCAGAGCATTGCTCAGAGCTGTGGTCCGGCAGCAGATGGTCAGCTGGCCCCTGATTTATGGGACGCAGTGACATCACCAAAGCCCAGTGGCGGCCCTGCGGTGGGAGAGAAATTCGCACCCCCTGACCCCTGCTTCCTCCCCTTGACTCCCCCCTTTCTCCCTCTGTCCCCCTTTCTTCCCCCCGCAGCAAAGATTCCATCCCCCTTCTCTGGGGAGGTAGTTATTCATGTGCAGAGGGGAGCTCTGGCTTCGGATCGTGCTGTGGGAGAGCTTAGTATTTTGAGTCTCCCCCCAGGCCTGGTGATGTGCCCACCTGGCGGGGTCACACCTGGGGCCAGGCCCAGGCCCACCTCGGAGAGCTGACACCTCCTGGGGTTACACCAGGCTCAGGCCCAGGCCCAGGCACGCCTCGGAGAGCTGATCCTGGCGGAGGGAGCAGTGAGCAGTCTCCCAGCCCCGGCTCCAGCACGCACATGGTTTCCATTTCCTCTCTGAGATGGCAGCTCCTTCTCCAGTCCCTTCCCAGATCCCAGCCCAGCGTGTGAGCCCACAGCTGCCCGCCGCTCCCCACTCCCACCCACGTCCGTTACGGGCTCTCCGTGGGAGACTCCGGGGTGTTGCAATGGACGGGGCAGCCTCGTGTCCACCGGAGATGAGTCAGGGCTTGATGAGGAGCAGGTGGGAGGTCTCCTCTGAGCTGGAAGAGGCCCGAGATGGCATCAGAATGCGTGGGTGCACGCGGTGCTGTCTGGATAAGACCTGGAGGATTCTATCCGTGTCCGTTTCCGGCTGTGATCTCGTTCCGTACGTATGCCAGATGTTACTGAGTAAAGAGTACAAGGGATCTCTCCGGGAATCCAATAAAAACCGTTTAAAAAAAAAGAAAATGTCAGGTTTCGTTCCTGCATTCCACAGATGAGGAAACTGAGGCCCAGAGATGGGCAGAGTGTGGCCAAGGTCACCAGGGAGCGGGACTAGGGCAGGGCTCTGGCCAAATGCAGGGCTGCTCGCTAGGCTGTGAGGTCAGGGGTGGGGCCTGTGTGCCAGGGATCCACCACCTGGTCCCCTTGAAGGTGGAGAGATGCCTGGGGCTGGGGGTGGAGTTCCAGCAGCGAGCGGGAAGCCAGGCCCCTTCCCAAGAGCCTCAGGGGACAGAGGAGTATCCGAAGGGACGGACAGGGCTCAGCAGCTGTGATGGGGAGGACGCTTCAGTGTTTTAGTTGAACTCCAGGGAGCTCAGTGTGTGCTCTGGCTGCCAAAATAACAGCTGGCTCTAGGGCTGCATGAACAGGAGCATGGCATCTAAAACGAGGGAGGTGATATCCGTTCAGCCTGGTGCTGGACAGGGTACATGAGGAACGTTGTACAGCTCTTGGCTGACTCAGAAGAAAGGAGAAGGAACTCAGCATCAAACCCTCTGTGACCCACTTGGGGCCCGAGAGGGCCTCCCTGGTGAAAATCAGACTCGTGGGGAGAGAAG